ATCCAAAGTGGGACACAGCAGAACGAAAGCACGCCTGTGCTATGTGTAACAGAAACACCATGTCCCAGTGCCTGTGAGCCAGGCTCCCAGTTATGGATCCAAGTGTTTCAACTGCACTTTCCCCAGCAGCATTGCATTGTTCAGGGATGGGCAGCCTATGCTCCTCTATGCTCTTAAAGGCCCTCATGAAGAGCTGTGGTTTAAGCGATTGCCCTTCAGCATACGTTTGTTCATAGTGTCAAGCCATTTGGCAGAAAAAAAAACAACAAAACCCACAAACAAACAAACAAACAGACAGACAGGAATAAAAATCTTGAAGTAATTTTAAAAAGGAAGAAATCTGTTTAAATAATTTCAGTATAGAGCATTACTGTGGGGCTCTTTGTCACATTAATAAGACTCAGTACACTGCTAAATATTTTCAGAAAAGGAAGAAATCTAGGGAGGAAGAGGGAGGCTGTGGGCTGAATGTCCCCCCATGTCCTGCTTTTCAGCTGCTTATGTTTCTGTGTGCATGGGGAATTGTCCTGGGAGAATTCATCATACTGCAAAGACAGAAAGGCAAAGCAGCTCTGGAGGAGATGGGACTACCCATCCTGCATCAGACCTTTGAATGCAGGATCCTCACAGCCTGTTTCTCCCACATGTGGCTTGTTCAGGCGCCTGGCAGGACAAGCAAAAACAAGAAGTAGCTGCAGGTCTCTGCAGGGTGATGGGAGAGGTGAGGGAGGAGACAGTGCAGTGTGTGGGCACAAGATCAGGGTCTCACACACTGTAACAGTATCGTTATCTCCTCTTCAGACACTGAGTTCCAATTACAACTATACTCCTATGCACATATTGTTTCTCTGGATTGCAAGCTTGATGTTGCCCCTGCCACAAAAGCATATGGAGCTGTGCATTTTGTGTGAGATGCCCAGCTGTGCAAGTGGGGGTCAGCGGCAAGGTCCTCACTTGCAGGGTGATGAATGTGCCCATCTGGGGTATCTCCAAATAAGTATAATGATGCAAGTAGCCAGAAATAGCAGAAGGAAGAGTTTTATGTGCCTCTCAGATCCAGAGCACAGGTTTGTTTTCCTTGATAGTTGCACCACATTCATGGCGTGTGAATGTGGCACAGCTAGCAAGGAGAAGAAACCTGTGCAAGGAAAAGAACAATGCCATGAATATGGGGAAGGGGCAATGGTGAGAGGCAGGACACAGGTCTGAACTGCTCTGCTCTCATGGAAAATTTTGTGGATGTTAATGGCCATAATATCTGCATTGTAGTTTTTCTTCCAAAAAAAATGTTATCAGTAGAAGATTGATCATCATCACCATCACTACTGCCTTTGGATTACTGCAGGCCAGGTAACACTACCTGCTGAAATCCTACTACTGTCATTGGAGGACCTGCCTAAAAAACCTTCTGCTAAGAGGAGAATGGCATTGGCATCTCACTAAAATAAAAACAAAACAAAGCAAAGCAAATTCTTTCCATGCACATAGTCAAAAAGTAGTAGAAAAAAATCATGTCAAATCTTTTTAAGAATGGTTGTGAGTCTTGCAGTAATTTTAGCAATTATCTGCTTCATAGGCAATCTTGTTTCCCACCAGTTTTGTATCTCTGAAATGTATCTTTATCATGTCTCTATCAGGAGCTGGATCCACAGTGACTTGCCAGACAAGCCTAAAAATTTACAAAAAGTTTCTTTTTAAATGAGGAAAAGGGAGCTGGCTTCTGGATCTACAGATGTGACTCTCTCTGTGTCTAAAAACACTTACCTGGAAGCTTAGTCTTTGCCAAATTAAAAAAGAAAACTGCATTGTGGCCTTGAAAAGTAGATGGCTGTGCCCTTCTGTCCCAGGACCATGTAGTTTTGGCTCTGTATGCAAGCTCTGACTGCTGTGGCAAGAGATGAGCACACAAGGGCCAGCACGAGTTCAGCAAAAAGGCTTTGATTACAGCCCTGTCTCCACCTTGAGTGTTTTAAAAAGGGCTGGAATAGGGATATAATGAAGCATGACATTTCCTGAGATCTTTCCAATATTTATAGTGTTTTAAATTTATGCTGTTTAATCGCATTGGAGGTGAAGTGTGGGCAGACAAGGCAAGGGAATTGTACATACTGGAATATGAAGACTTCACCCTTTCTGTAGAGTTGTGATGTTCTCTTTTGCAAATGGTATGTAAAGACCTATGGGAAACATCTATATCTTTTCTTTTCTAGGCTTTGTCCTTGGATTAGCACTAGATGGCTGTGCTACTGCAACGAGACATTGCCTTAGCAGCAGGCTTAAATAACAGGTGTAATAAACCTCACCCACAGCCAGCTTCTGAGAAAGTTTCCACCAGATTTCTCCAGGCGTTGAGCAGCTGTGGATCCCACACAGGCAAATCTCAGTTAAGAGTTGTTCGCTTTTTCCTTGAAACTGCTATTCCAGTGGATCTTGCCATGGGAGCCATTTACAGCCCAGTTACTCTAACTTTATTAATAGCATCAAATCATTGCTTTTTTTGCAGTCATTTAAATCAGTGAAATTAACAGTTTCCCCTGAAGAGTAGGATGTGTCTAGGAGATTAAACCCTGTGCTTGCTGCTGGGGTCCAGAGCCTGTGACCTCTCCCTCAGTCAGCACCTGTGGCAGGAGGAGCTGTGAGGGCAGCCCAGAGCTGTTTTGTAAGGACGTCACAAGATTTTTCCTTCAGCTGGCAGCCTGTGTTTACATGGACTCAGAGCTTATGAAAGCATCTCCCAAGGCTAGCTCTAGATTTGTTATGTTGTTTTAGAGCTATGAACATTGGTTTGCTTTCAGTGATTTTGCCTTCCATTTTCTGTTTGCAGCTGTTACCTTAATAGCACTTTGAAGTGGCTTCTCTTAAACAGCAACCCAAGTTCCCTATTGTATATCAGTGGTAGAGCATTATTTTACTTAATTTAATTTAGATGGTTGTTGTTAAAGTAGAAAATGAGGTGAAACTCCAAAATGGGAACAATTAAGAAAATTAAGAAGTGGAATTAGCAACAGGGAGAACCCAAGATAGGCAGGAAAGAATGAGGTGAGGTTGCAAACAGTGCATTAAAAACAGTTGTACAGAGACAGAAAATAGACTTGCTCCAAAAGGCAGGACTCCAAGGAAGTGTGGACACAGTAGGACTGTGAAGATGCTTTGGCCAATCAAGGCACTGAATAAGAGACTGGAGCAAGGGGAGCTGAGGTGAGACCTACAGGAAGCCCCCCCACTGGTGCAGCTCCTGCTTGGGTTCCTGGCTGCCACTGTCCTGCTCAATCAAGGAGCTTCTTTTGCCGGAGAGAGTTTGGGATGGGATGGAAGGGTGTGATGTGTGTAGTGGGAGAGGCACATCATGAGATTTGCGGAACAAGGGATGTCTGAGCCTGCACATCAGTGATGATGATATTGGGAGGAGGGTATCTGTGCTCACTCCAGCTGAGTTTCCTCCAAGGTCTCTGCAGTGGAGCAGGACACAGATTCTCCAGTTGCCTCCGTCCCTCAGCTGTGTGCATGCCTGATGTAAAGTGGTTTGAAGACTAAGGAAAACAGTCTGAAGCAACACCCAGAAGTGAATAGGGAATCAATGGAGGTTGTTGCTTGTAGGACCAAGGTACACATTTCCCAGCCATACCTGTGAGGAGCAGCAGCATCAAGTCCATAAATTAATGAAGCAGGGATAGCCAGGATTTTATTCCACAACCGTCTAGTTCAGAAGTGGTCTGTATGCAAATTTTCTAACACAAAAAAGAAAATCAAGAGCAGGTGCTTCATTAACCTGATGATAAATTAGTAGAGTATTGGTTGGGGGCAGAGCTGATATGAAATAATGAAATACAATTAGTGGCAGCTGGTTTTGTTGGTGTTTTTTTTTTTAAAGCATGTGAACACTGTTTTCACACAGATGCCTGATTTTATTTAGTCCTAACTGGTAAGGAAAATCCATTTCAGGAAGTGAAGGATGCAAGCACATCAGTTGAACAGGATTATTGAATCACAGATCACTATTGTAACAGGTTAATTTACAAGAAAGTATCACATCTAAAGTGAACACTGACAAAAGTACTTTCCATTTTGACTTCTGGCTTCCTTTTTATTTCTTTCTTTCAGAAAGAAATTCACATATCATAAATGCTTTGTGTCTAGTGCCCTATAACAAGTAAATACATATACAATGGGTCAAATTTCCCTTCAAGGCTGAGCATTGTAAATGAGAGGAAAATGTGATGCAGAGTTTGATTACTAGAGCTTATTGTTTCAACTCACTGTTATTAAAAATGGCATCATACATCCTCCATGTAGACATAGGGAAAAAATGTATAAAACCTAAAATGTCAGTGGCCACGTCCTTGGAAGCCTATGTTGATGTCCACCATTTAAGAAGACCAGATCTGAGCCCAAACTCACCAAAGAGTTTGGTAGCACAATAAGTCCTGTTGCTGTGGGGAGATGATGGGAGAGACAACCAGCAGCTGGTTTTTCTTTCACCATGTAACTCATCGCAACTCTGGAATGCAGCAGTGTCCCGCACAGACAACCACGACAGAAAAACCCATATGCCACACATAGCTATGAAGTCTGCATTGCCTTTATGCATAAACTTTTTTTCCCAATTTCCCTGTTGGTGCTTTTTTTCCTTTTTACCACCTTTGTAATCCCTTTGGGGTAATTCAGGATTCCTTTTTTGTGTGTGTATTTTGGGCAGGGGAAGTCCCTGCTGGCATTCGAGGCCATGTTGAATCGCACTGCTGAATGGGTTGGCTCACTCCTATACAAGAGCCAAAAATATTTAGCTGATGAATCATTCAAGAAAAGGCAAAGGAATGTAAAATGTAAAAACCAGCGTTGCTTTTCCCAGTAGGAAAAAATAGAAATTTTGTTTTCTTCCATTCAGTAGGGCACTATGCTTTTTTTGCTGTTGAACATAGGCTTCATCTTTGCCTTCTCTTGTCCTCTTCTCCTCCCGGCTTCAAAACGTCTGCAGAGAGATACAGCCATAATGGGTCCTTTGCCATGTGCTGTCCCCTGGCTGCTTTTGTCTTTGATTAAGCATAGCTAGAACCAGCATCTCATCCATAAAGTTGGAAATTAAACTGGAGGGGAGGAGTGGGAGAATCGATGGGGAGGCATGAACATAATGCTCACAGGCCATTATGGTCGGCAATATGTCAATTTATTATTTAAAACAGTTAACTTTTATACAGTTTAGTTTGCTCAGGGTACATGCTCACAATAAGACGATTGGATAGCTCAGTCTGTGCATGCGTCTCATGTCTCCAGTTCATTGGACCTGATGTCCTGTCCACGCGATCTGAAATCATCCTTGGCATAGAAACCTCTTTCTAATTAATCTGCTCTTAGGGTTTTACTAAATTTGCAGGTGTTTCATTATCTTCAGTTTCTCAAGGTTTTCTTTCTATAAACATAATATGTTCTCAAACCTTATAATTAGACACACAGCTAACAAGTATAAGCATCACATATTTTCACACAGTCTATAACTATAAACAATACACGCTTGCCACTTCCATGGCAAGCAAGGCCTACAGAGTGCAGGAAAAAATTGTTCACAGAAATCTCTGTTCCGGCAACATGGGAGAGTGCTGCAACTGCAGCCAAAGGGCAGCTGAGCAATTTGTCTGAAAACCAGCCCAGTTTGTTTTCATCTAATGTTTTCAAATTCTTTGACATGGAAAAGAAGTAGAGCCCTAGCAACTATAATAAGTGTGATGCATACATAATTACCAAGAGGCACAATCTTTGTAAAATATTTGTGTGGCTTTTCCAGTATATCTGATCTTTTTTCTTAGCAATAACAGCTGAAGGATTAGCCATTATCAAGGTCTAGAGACATATTTGAAGCAGGAGGAATGAACAATTCATCAGGAATACCCACATGATAAACAGCGTAAGATGCCAGTTCTTGGGTGGATTTGAGTGTATGTTATCTGATGAACCCCTTTGGAGCATTTGTTAAAGACAATGGGAAATGGAAGTATGACTGGAAAACACCTGCACAAGGATCTGGGCTGTATGGGAACATTTTGGGGCTGAATAGACATTTGGATAGGATTCCAGTTCAAGCCCCCAAGGGCCCATAAGTGTGTGAGATCCATAACCCATGTTAGAGCATATCTTCCATCAAAGAAACCACATCCGTGCCAGTGGCTTGGGAATGGCCTGTAGAGGAACACAGCTGTCACCTCTGGGTCTCTGTGTTCCCTGGGTAGAGGCTGAGAAACATTTCTCAGGCACCAAGACATTCCCCCAGATGGTGGCTAAAGTAGACTCCAGCAATGAAAAGATTTAGATCTGTTACCAGCCCCAAATGGACTTTGGTCCAGGTGACAAAGCTTTCAATCCTATTTATTTCCCTATAGCACTTAACTTGTCCTCCATGTAAGAGCTAGTGGGTAAGTCCTTGCCAGACCCTTGGCAAATATTGCTTGTGTTAGACACACTATTAATCACGTCTGTAATAATTTCTTAACTTTCCATTAAATATTTCATCAGCTCTTATCCTTGCCAAAAAATCTCTCCTTTTACTCTCAGAGATAAAATCAACACCAGTTTCAAGGGCACAGACTTAAGATAATTCTAAGAACTAAGATTATAGTATTTTCCACACTTCTACTTTGGCCTAGTTCAACAGCTCTCTGAGGTAGAAAGTATAACTATAGCAAATAGCAGAAACAAAACTAATTACTTATTTTAGAATTAATAAGTTGTGGCATAGACTATGAGTCATTTCCTTACTGAACTAATTTTGTTTTTACTCATCAAATTTGCTCATGGAGTAATTATCCTCAAGACAGGGAGGTTTTTTCCCAGAGCAAATTTAAACAGACATTAGCATCTTCTAAGGTCACGTCCCAGATGATTCACTGATAACACATTACAGGCATTTACAGAATGAAGTTTGTGTAATACAACCATAGCTAACAAACTGTATCATGACAGAGGAAAAGAAAAACAACGGAACATATTTATTGACATAGTAAGTGCATCATATAATATCTTAACATAGTAAACGTTTGCATTATTTTCTCAAATGAATTGTCATCTTGTGCAGCTAAAAATATTATGAAGTTTTCTGTCGGTCTTTAAAAAGTTAAGAACATTAAAGAAACATCAAAGCTACCTCTGGACATTTTTGACCTAGATATTCTGACACTCAGAGCAAAAGGCTGGTGCAAAGGGGACCCAAATATACTTCTAAATCCTTTGAGATTGGAGTGAAATTTTAAGCTTTCAATTTAATAATATTCTTTATTTTTCCCCCAGTCATTCTGTAATCCAGTAATTTGTAGATGGAAGTATCTCCAATATTCTGTGCTTTAAAATTGGAAGCAGTTGATTAAATTTGTATGAAGATATCAAACACAAACATAATGTATTTGAAAGAAAATTTATTGGCTAGAATTTCTAGGTACATGCAAAAAAATTGAGCCAACATTTAAATGCCTCAAGTTGGAGATTTTTTGTTTTATTTTTTTTTTCCAATGGGAAACAGCCTTTACAGGAATAACAACAGAAGGTCAGGTTTGAGAAACTCCCTTTACTCACTACACTCTTGGTAATCCAGTGTATTGGGAGGTTCACACTGCCAAGCCTTTAGGTCAGAACACGGATCTGCTGCTTTCCAAGGATCCTAAATGAACAGAAGTGTAATCCCTGCGAATTCAGGCAGGGATCGTAGATCAAGGTCAAAACCCCCTGCCTGCTAGGGGTCCCTGCCACAACCTGAGCCCTCTCACAGCCCTTTCCTTGTTGCTGTTGGCTGGGAAGAAGGGCCTCATCTTTAACAGCAAAAGATTGTTCATGAAACTTGTGGATTTCACATTTTAATTTATACTGTTGTCTTTACCAGCTGCCTACTCTTTCTTACAATAGGTCCCTCTGCTACCTTGCAGCCATTTCATCTGTTACTTTTCACACTTTCTTTATCCCTTGCATACCACATCCATCTCCCCAGTCTTCCACACCCTCTACTTCTCTTGTTCTCTCTGCATTGTATGCTATTTGCTGCCAGTTCATCCCTTATCAGCAGAATAGAAAGAACTCCCCAGCTGCTTCTCTCCTCCACATGTAGATGAAATTTTTTTACTTAAGCCATATTCGTGCTGATTCATATTCCACACAGATTCATAAATCTGCAAAATTTAGATGGTAGGTTATGAACTAAGTCAAGGAGTTTCTTTAAGCAATTTTTAAAGCACTGGGTCCTCTATACCTCAGATAACAGAAATAATTTTGCTATGTAACACAGTGCTTTTCTTTTGTTGAGATAATAACAACTTAATTTTTCACATTGCATTTAAGCCTCTTGACTTCCACTGTATGTCTCAGAGCCTCAGATTAAACACATGCACAAATACCTTGCAGAAGCTGGTGTGGGTGTGTTAATGGCTTGTATATGAAGTTTATCTTTAGCCCAGAAAAAAATTTACTTTTTAATTCCAGTAGCCCCCCCTACCAGAAAAGAGATTTGACTGAATATGGTTTTTTCCTAAAGCCAGGAATACAGTTAAAGATCTACTATACCAACTCTTGTGGGAAAGCATTAGTACTGATGAAAACAAATGATGTACAGCATGGTGCCTGAAAGAGGAAAAATCCTTTAGGAAAACATCATAAGGCTCGAAACCCAACCTTGATGATGGTGTCCTAGAAAACAGCAAGATCTAACCTACTAAGAACACCCCCTCCTCATATTTTCTCATCAATAACTAGATAGCAACTGCAGGGTTTTTAAGGAAATCTGAGATGATCACGGCTCAGAAATTCTTGACCCCTTTGCAGTGGTTGGTACCAAGAGCTCTACGCAGAACACTGAACTCCTGGGATTGTGTGTAAGTACTCAAATTTATTAACTATTCCAGAAGACCCTGTAGTAGATAGTCCCAATGCCTACATTAAGTATTTCCTGCTCTATTAGGCCAAGTGACAGACTGAAATACTGCCTGGCATGCAGAGGTAATAGGAATAACATTTTGTCTGGGTTTTCTTATGCCTGCATTCCCTTGCCTGGAGGTGCTGACCCAATCAAAACAGCACATGCTCTTTCTACACACCTGTACCTTTGCATGTGTTTGTGCATGTGCACTCAGACACAGAGGTTTGTATAGATACAGATATGTGTATATAGTTTTGATTAATTTTTATGTTGCTCTGGACAACCTTTTTAATCTCTCATAAAATGAGGCACTGAGCATTTTATATTTATTCTCTGGGGATAAACATTTGTTATCAGCCTGGTATGAGAACTTCAGGTCACAGCTGAGATATTTACAGCAGATGATTATAATAACAAGACCATTTGCGAGCTGACATCAACATTTTTCATTCTTACCTTTTTCCAATTCCCAAACTGATAAAGGAATACATTATATTTCTCCTCCTAAGGAACGCACCTAAATAAAACTCAACAAAATAAAGAATTTACTAAGCCACCTTATCTTGATCAATTTTGGACCCAAATCAACAATGAGGATAATTGTAAAAAAATCCATGGACTTGGGTTGTCTTGTATTAGATTAATGATGTGGTACCTTATTTGTTACAGTAACTATGGAAAAAGGCACTTAAGAAAAACATTACAGAGCTGACTAAAGAATATTGTAGGCCTGTTGCATAGAACAAGAGTATTAAATACTGGACTGAGGTGATTTAAAATTGCTGTCAGCAAAGCCGTGTATCTTAATAGAGATGTTAACAACAATAAAAAATAATTAACCCTAAAATCTTAGAGATTAATTTCTGAACTGTAAAAATTATTATTAGTTTTCTACAAACAATCACACAAAATAAAATTTTAAAAAAAAAGAAAAAAAGAAAAGATAAGTGTTCCCTGTTCCTTGGAAAGGCTGACATTAAAAGAAATAGTTTCTTTAAAGTGAGATCTCTTCCAATTAATGAAATATTGTTAGAGTTATCATATGGATGCAAGTCCTAAATTTTTATGCTTTGGCAATGATATGACAAAGAAAGTTGCCTGCACATTCAGTGTGTCAGGTTATATACTTTCAATCATCTAAAAAAAATGTGGGTTATTAAAAATCATCTTATTTCATCAAAAGATATTACAAGTATGTTTTAAAGATTCCAACAAACAGATAATATTTTTAAAACACTTATATTTTTTTCTTCTGCAAAGGAAGAAACTGTATTTTGGTCAGCATAAATTTATGGTAAAAAAAATTAAATATTATGGTGGTGAATATTCTAAAAGTATTGCAACCCAAAGGATATGATCAGAAAGGCACAGTATCACTTAATGTTATTAGATTAACATAGCACCATAACAATTCTGTGCGCTTCAGACTCTTGACATAAAATAAAAGATATAGACTTGTGTAGCAATCATCGACAATTTTTAAGTAGGTGGTTTGTGTTTAAAGGTGTGTAAAAGTCAAGCTCAGTTTTTGTTTTCATTAAATATACGGTTCTGCAAACATATTGAACCAAATTATTTGCTAACTGCTGCTGCTACCTAACAAGTTATAATGTACAGGGTATTTCTAACATTCAGAAAGTGCTATAATTTACTTGGGAGAGTTGGAGTCTGAATATGACATGATTAAAACCACCCACTTTGCAAAACTGTATGAAGCCAAACTAAAATACTGATTTCCAATGCCCAGTGTAATACATACTATCCTATCTATGAAGCTGAACTCAGATAAAAGTAATTCATAAAAACTGAAGAAATGTTTAGCACCCAAAAAATATATAATCTGGGTTATTTAAATGATCTAAGTGATTGTCAAATAGCCACTTCAGGAGTCAGTGACTTCTCCCAATGGCAAAGCTAAACATTTAACTAAGAACTAAACCTACAGCTCTCCAAACACTAATTGTAATGCAAATGCATGTGTTTAAGACTTCTATAACTTCTCAAAGAAAATTCAAAGGCATTAAATTATTTCCTGATGTTTCTTCTTCTTCAAAATACGGAAACTATGTTGGTTAGTTTCTTTTTGCTGTTTTTACTGAGCAATGGAGTGAAATTTGTCTAAGGTCTAACCCTCAGCTACATAAATTTGAAATTTCCGTGGAAGTGTTCCTGTGGCAACCAGAAGAGGAAGTTTTCCAAACTAACAAGCATGAACTATACTGCTGCTTCTCAACATGGAGCTGTGGTCTTTAGAGAATGCCAGAATAATGTCTTATTCTCGTGCAGTTCTCTGACTCATTCTGCACATACAGTAATATGCTCTACTTGAATTTGAAAAAGTGGAACAGAACCCTGAGAAAAGTAAATCCATTAGAAAAAAAATAGATACTGTTTAATAATACCAGTCGGGGATGTTTCAACCCTGCCATTTGGAAAAAAAAAAATGACTAACAGGTGCAGTCATTTTTTTTCTCATGTGAATGACTTGAATTTATCACAATTGCAAACAGAAATATAGTTTGGGATTTTAAGTGCATATCTAGGGTTGATTACAATTAGAAAGATTTTGTCTGACAATTCTACCCATCCCCCAGCATTTCAGCATTCCTCAAGTTACTATAGCATTACTTGTGAGCTTTGAGTTCAAAAACATTCTGACATGGAGTGATGTTCTTCCAGTAACTGCTGCAGCCGACTTTCACTCTATGGCAGTACAGGTGCTAAGCAAGTAAGATTCAGCTCTCTTCAGCCTTGTGTGCAATTCCCATCATTCCCATGTATCCAGAAGCAAATCTGGGCATATTTGAGAGGAGTAATTCTTACTGCTACATTGTAATCCTGCTGTTCACCATTGATATCCACCCACTGATGGCCTGAGTAAACAGCAATGATCTTGCGTTTCCACTTCTTTTTGTTCGGCTCCTTAAGACGGAGATAGATGCCAGATCCAGTGGAGCCAGGCTCAGCATCACAGTACTGGTAAAAGAGATCGTTGGACTCATCAGATATGCTACAAAATCTATAGACCAGCTGCCCAGACCGATCATTGTCAAAACCTGAGAAGTGGATCATGCTCCCAGGCATCATTTTGATTGTTGGGCTGATTCCCAGCTCCATGTATTTCCTTTTGTGGGGACGCTTGAGCTCAAGAACAGCATAATCATAATCCAGGGCAACATCCCCAGAAACACCCTTAAACCAGCCTTTTGGGATGTGGGTACTCTTCACTCTGGTCCACTGGAAGGAGGGCATGCCATCTGAGGTCCCTTGCTTCCTCCCAGGCCTCCTCTGCCTTTTCCTGTCGCCTTTGGATTGTTGACTTTGTTCTGTGGCAACTTTGGGATCCTCTTTGGCCGTAGAAACTTCTCTCCTACTTCTTTTAGCACCTTTGCGTTTCCTGCCATTGCCTCTGGATTTCGTCTTCATCAGGCCCACCCTCAGTCTTTTGCTGCCCTTGACATAATCCTTGCCATTGTGCAGACAGTGGGCTGCTGTCAGCACGTGCTTGGGGGAAATGAGAATGCCGCTGCAGCCAGTGGAGACCTTCACAGCTGTGTTGAATGGAAAGTTGGTCATAAACCGCTTGTCATAGATGCTGAACCTACTGTCCGTTCCATATATCTGCCTCTTCTTTCTCAAAGACCTTCGTGTGGTTGTGTTTCCAGCTGGGTCAAGCACTGCTCCGAGGACATTCACTTCAGTCAGGGTCCGTGTGCCATTTTCAAAAACAGTCTCATAGGATAAGAGGTCCTTCAAGTCAGACAAGCTTGGCACTGGCAGTTTTCTTTGACACTCAATTCCACATACACTGTTCAGCTCTAATTTGGTTTTTGCTTCAAATTTAGGGCTGTCAAGGGAGAAAGTTCTTTCTCTCACAATCTGGGGAATCTTCTTTAAGTGCCAAGTAAAATCTTGTTCAGTTTCTGTTCCATTACTGAGACCCAATATAGGTATGAAAAATATGAATAGCAGTAACATGTGCTCCATTTTATTTAATTTTTTCTAAAACAAGAAAGAGAGATTTGAAAATACACTTTGGAAATATACACAGTTATCTTAGTATCTTCAAAGTATAATCATGCAATATTAGAACTGACATCAGTGGAACAGAATTCAACACTCTGCTCAAAATAGAAATGCCTCAAATATTTTCCTGTATTGCCTCCAACTCTTCCAATGGTCTCTAGCAAGATGAATGCAGACAATTCAGCCAACAACCATGCTGAGCTACCTACTGGAAGGTAAAACCAGCTGAGTTTTACCTGCTTTTCCCTCAGTGGAGTCATTCCGCTCACTGGAGCATAGAGCAACCTGGTTTTATTTATCCCATAGAAACACAATTATGTATTATGCTTCTGCTTCTCTTCTCTATGGTTGAAGGTAGAACATAGTTGAAAATCACCAATGTATTCAAAAGTTGGGATCCAAGCAGAGATGGATAGACAGACCACACTTGTGAGACCCTTAGGAAACCAGAACAATTGTGCTCTTTCATGTAATAGCCAAAAAGTAAGACCTTTAAGTGACCTAAAAGTCACACATAGTTCTGCATTACCCACCCAGCTAAGAACTATGAATCTGCCTATTATGAAAAAAGGCACTTTGCTAATTGCTATCCCAAGGAACCAAATTAGGAAGATTTCCTTTCCTCTTACAAAGGTTATGTTGTCTTGATTGTCACAGTGCCCACAACCTGGGCACCTTAAAAGGGATCACAGCCTATTTTAAACACTTTCAGCTTCAGCTGCTCTGAAGGTGTGGGTCTCCTGCTGATCCTGTATTTTATCTCCTCCCCTGTGTTCCATTGCCACCAAAACCTCATTCATTACCTATGTATGGGTGTCTGAATCTCTCTCAGGATGTCAGAGAACTTAAAAATCCATGGTTGGAGGGGACAGACAGACAAGTGAGAAAAGTAGAATCTTGTTGGTCTAGAGGAGTCTACAGATATATATATGCAGGTTACATATATATGTAGGAAAGCTCAGCCCAGTAGGAGGGACAAGCCTGCTTATTCATCACATGCCTTTTTCCTGTAGAATTTCACAAAGGCTGCAGGAACTGTGCTGTCTGTGCCTTATTGTCACATGTGGAATACCCCACATACGTGGGGTGATGCACCACACAAAGAGCTAATACTTTTAATGGGAAAGACAAAATACAGTATTATTCCCATCTGTAGCTGGAAAACATGCAGAAAGAAAGTAAGATTTTTAGAAGTCTGTGGCAGAGCCAGAAACTGAACCCAGAACTCTTGATTCTGAACTCAAAACATTACTGAAAAGACCATTTTTCTCCTTTGGCAGTAGTGATGTCAGTGGCATTATCCAGCTACTGGCGGCTGCCATTGGGAAACCTGTGCTCAGTTCCAATATCCTTCATTCCAATTACATGGAAACCTCAGCTGTGAAGAAAGAAAAGGCCTATGATTAAACTTTAAAAGCCAAGCAATTCAAGGATATGTATGTGGTTAAACTCTGGTTTATATTGCAACGACAGTGTAAGCCAGGGCAAATATAACCACATTTCTTAAGTTTAGAATAATACAAGTGCTGCTTCCCAGTGAAACAGCCTGGTCACAGACTAGCTAAAGCGCTAGCATAAGAAATAGGGGTATGTGCAACATGGGAAAAGAAGTGGCAACGTGACTTTTAAAGCTGGATAATGGACCAATGATTCCTATGGTTTTGAGGCATCTTCACCCTATAGACATAGTTGCTGTCTATAAGAAGTAATAATTATAATTTTTTAGCTAAGTAAGCACTACAGTTCAACCCCAGCTTGTTGCTTCTGATGCCAAGTTCAGAGGGTGTTTTTGTTTTAGCATAATTTTGGCACTTTTTACCTTGGCCAGCATGGAACACCAAGTTTGAGCCAGAGTTCACCTACTAGGATATACATAAACCCCATTTTACAATACAGTATAAGGAAACGCTCTCTGGCTTTAAAATAGCTAACTCAGGTTTTGGAAAAGACGTGTGGACTTCCCCAAGACATCTGGAGATTACAGTGACTCACAGATCTAAGATCTGGGTTGTATGCAGTCATATGAAAAGGCATCTGAAGGTTTTGAAAGCAGAGCAGAATCATCTCAGGTACAAGATTTTGTAGAGACACCACTTGTTCATAGCAGTCTAAGTTATTGGTATAGCAGAAATGCACACATTTAAACATTAACTTTTATATACAAAGTTGCCTTCAAAGTGTTGGTTTGTTTATTGCTCAGTTAGTACTAAATCTGAAGAGGAATGACTATTTTACATATGCCTGCATACACGGAGAGGATTTTATATAGCCACGTCTCTTCATGTAGAGATGTGAACAAAATAATTCGCCCATCTGCCTCATACTATAGGCAAAACAACTAATTGTCAGACCAAGAATGCCTGTGTAGAGGTGACGTATTATCAAGCACCATTCAAATACATTTATGCGCCAGGCTGGGGTGGGGGCTGACCTGGTGGAAAGCAGCTCTCTGACGGAGGACCTGGGGTCCTGGTGGACAACAAGCTGTCCATGAGCCAGCAGTGTGCCCTTATGGCCAAGAAGGCCAATGATATCCTGGGGTGTCTCAGGAAGAGCATTGCCAGCAGGTCAAGGGAGATGATCCTGGCCTTCTGCTCAGCCCTGGTGAGGCCACATCTGGAGTGCTGTGCTCAGTTCTGGACCCCTCAGTACAAGAGAGACATGGAGCTCCTGAAACAGGTCCAGCAGAGAACTACAAAGATGATAAGGGACTGGAGCATCTCTCTTACAAGGAAAGGCTGAGGGAGCTGGGCATGTTCAGCCTTGAGAAGACTGAGAAGACTGAGATGAGATCTCATCATTGTCTATAAGTATCTGAAGGGAAGGTGTCAAGAGGATGGAGCCCAGCTCCTCTTGGTGGTGCTGAACAATAGGGCAAGAGGCAACAGGCAGAAACTGATGCACAGGAAGTTCCACCTGAATATGAGGAAAAACTTCTTTACTGTGCTGGTGACCACACACTGGAACAGATTGCCTAGAGAGGCTGTGGAGTCTTCCTCACTGAAGATATTCAAGAACTATCTGGACGCAATCCTGTGTCAACATGTTCTAAGATGACCCTGCTTGAGCAGGGAGGTTAGACTGGATGACCCACTGTGGTACCTTCCAACCTTATCCATTCTGTGATTTTGTGATACCTAGGGATAAATTATAAGGTGTCAAAAAAAGAAAATACTGTAACGACAGCATAAGAATAGCTTTCCTGGCCTGACCAAAGGCCTGCCAGGTCTAAAATCCTGTTTCTGACACTGGCTAAATGTGGATGCCTAGGGTAGAGGATAAGAATAAGGTAACCATGTATGTCCCTCCTCCCTCATAGTTTCTTAACTTACAACCAGTTGTACCTGATGGACTTTAAAGCAAAGGTAGTTTCTGTAGTGTAGGGAAACCTCAGTTGATTTCTCTTCCATAGTTTGTCAGTCTTCCCTTGAAGACATATAAAATTTTGTATCTATAATGTTCTGCATCAAGGAATTCCAGAGCTTAACTACAGGTTGTATGAGGAATCATCTTCTTTTCTTTATTTTCAGCCTGTCACAAACTAACATAATTTAGGATAAATAAAATTAATGTGGAAAAGCTGGTTTTACTTTGCTTTACCCTAATATAGCTGTTGAACGAGAAAGTTTCTTATGTCAGGCTCAAGAATAATGTTTCTATTTTTCCCTAGAATATTTCTCTGTTTCTCAGTCCTTTCTCAGGGTCTGGATTTTCTATATTTCTCTGTAGCTGAACTTTGTAAGCCCATAGGAAAGTTCAGTCACTAACTGCTAGTTCATATAGAAAGTCTTTAATGTGTCTGGGTTGATGTCATTCCACTGTGATGGCTGAAGTCTTCCTAGCTGGACTCATAACTAACTTTATAGAGAAGTTCACTTTTTTTCCTCTCTGCTTTATAGAGAGACTTTCTGTAAGCAAATGGGTGGAGTACTATGGCCCCCTTCTGCCACTCTTTAAAAAGAAAAAAATGCAAACAGTCAAAGCACAGAACCCTCAATAAATGCCTTGGAACCTCCCATTTGAAACACTATACTCAAGTACTCACTACTCACAAAGGCATTCTTAGAAGCCAAGATTTTCTTCATTTATAATGAACCATTTGTCACTGGGAATGAACTAACTACACTTCAGTATAACTGGAAGAAGTCCAAGCTGAGGAACTGGATAAAAATGGTAATTCTCATTACAGACCAGAGGTCCTACTAGGCAGCATTGTCATTTTCAGCCATGCATTTAAGCTCTGTTTACTCACCCCCTCTCTACTGTTTGAGCGAAGCCAACTCCAAGCATGGGCAATGTCAGCAGTTGCCATGGCCCAGCACAGGCTGCTGACAAGAGGGAAACACAGGGGCTCCTCTTGCCAGAGGATGAGGATGTGAATGGCTGTAAAGACACCTTTGCAGGGTGAGGGAAGGGGAGAGAGAATACAGCCTCCAGGATAGGGAGGAAAAATCCTGAGAAGGCAACAAGCTGAATGCAAGAAAAAACCCTCAACGTGTTACCCTTTCTGCCATGCTGTTCTCCTGTCTTCCTCCAAATCCGAAGATGCTTGACCCTCTCTTTTCCTTCACTCCTTTCCCATACAAATTTTGGGTTGGCTTACAATAATTAGAATTCTTGAGTCAGCTCTTTAAGCTAGGATGAATTGCTAGAAGACAAGGTGGAACCTAGAAAGTGAGAGAGATCCCCAGCTACCTGAAATTGTTAAAATTCATCCTCCAGTTTCCAAACCCACATGTTTGGTGGCATTCCAGCTGCCAAGCATATCCATGAAATTAAAACTATTTTCAGTTCTTCTCACTTCTTGCTTCCAACATCAAATCTTTCTGCATTCACAGGACAAAAACTACGTAACTTCTCAGGATATTCTTCAAGTATTTTGTCACTATAACCTACCTGACTGCAGCTGAATGCTTCTCAGATGCTCAGGGGAAGGCTTGCAGTCAAGCAGAACTAGAATATGTTTATCTTCAGACTACCCCATCATGAATTTACATGTCAGTGTAGCTCAGACAGAAGAAAAGTTCTACCCAGTTACCTGGCAGTTTTTATCTTGGTCTGTTCAGTGCAGCTTCTGCTCTGAGGTTTCCTTCTTATTGTAGGAAGGTCAACACATTTCAAACTAAGCTTACATAATTTTAAACACAATTTTCAGATCATAAATTGATAGAGGCTGCTACACTAACCATCTCCTTTAACTGCTTTTGGCCTCATTCTTGAAATGACCTGAAAGTTGGAACTGACAGTTCTACTCTGACAAAGCAAAATAAAGAACAAATTTTTGAAATCTCACATTCCCTGGTAGAAACCACTACACTGTCCCCCGTTCCCTCCTCTGGGTGCGTTCACTCCATGTTCATCGATATCATTCTCTGCTCTGACTTACGGGGAAAAACCCACTGCCGCTCCTGGCTCTTACAAAATTTAAGCAGCTTCAGTACGCATAGGAAGAACTAATTTTACACGGCAGGCATAACAGCTCAACACTGGGGGGAAATAAAGAATTGGTGGTAAATGGACAGGGGTTTCTCCTCCAGCGGGGCTTCCCCGCTCCCTGCCGCGAGGCGGAGCTCCCGGACAGCCGGCAGCGGCTCCATCCCTTGGCTCCATCCCCCGGGTCCCGGGCGGGCTCCTCCCGACCCTCCCCGCCGCAGGGCTCTTCTCCCCGCTCCTCCGGGCCGGGAGGAGTTGGAGATGGAGGGGGAAAGAGGTCGCGTCCCGTCCGCTGCTCTGCCGCTGAGTGACTCTGGGGGTCTAGCCCTGCCAGCCGGGCAGCGGCTCCGGGGCGGCAGCAAGAGGGCACCGACCGGGAACCGGTCGGAGAAACGGCGGGGAGGGATGGCTTTGCCAGGATAGCCGCTTTCCCACTGCCCTCTCCGCTGTTGCCGGCCGCTCCTATGCGTTCGCGTGTTAAAGCTCAGGGCTTTCCCGGAAAAAAAGGCGAGGATTTGCGGAGGTAGGCTTTAATTCTACTGCTCCTTAGCCATTCCCTGGTCCTGCTTTCCGCGTGAGGCTCTGCTTTTCCGCTCCTCATCCAAAGAAGTTCCGCTTCTACAGAGCCTGCAAGTCAAATACCTTGGCACGGCTCTTTTATTTTTGCTATTCCAAGATAAATCTGCTTCCAGCAGTGACGAATCTGGATGAAATTAGTGTCAATTCCAGGGGAGCGGCGGGGATGGTAGCCCGAATACTGAGGCTATGAATCAGAATTTAAGGAGAGTTTGGTTTGAACGGTGAAGAGGTTCCTTGCCTGCTCCCTGCAGATGGCACAGCACAGAGACAACCCCCCGAAAGCCCAATAAAGATGCCCCTTGCCTCAGTCCCGTTAAGCCGTCTTGTGAAACTGGCTTTAAATATTAAGAAACAAGTACCAAAGAAACGTGTGACGTTTTAGTCCTATCAAAAATATATCCGTAAGGCTAAAGAGGCAGGAGCTTTACACAAAACCTCCCAGCTGCCAAACCCAAGGTACTGACATCGCTCAGCCTCATCAGTTTTTTAAAACGACCCGCGTAGGAAGAACGACATCGCATAAAGAGTATCACCTTAGAGACGCCGGTTACCTCGGACTGCCCGGTCCCCGGCCCCGGGCAGCCCTTTCAGCCCCTTCAGCCATCCCCAGCTCCTCTCCTGCCCACCTAGGTCTCTGGGGGCTGCCTCTCCCCCTGCGGCCGACGACAGGAAAGGTCTTGGTCATACCTGGCACCCCTCAGGACGGACGGAGGGGCAGGCGGCGGCCGCAGCCCCGGGGCACAGGCTCCCGGCTCCCCGCTCCGCGCCGCTCGTCCACCGCCCAGAGCCCGCGGCTACTGAGCACGGGGCGGGGGGAGCGGCCAGGTCTTCCCAGGAGGGGGAGGGGATGGAAAAAGGAAAAGAAAAAAAAAGAGAAAGAAAAAGAAGGCGAGAGGGAGGAAGCCGGGAGGGTGCGAGGGGGAGGGCCGAGGGGAGCGGAGGCAGATCCCGGTGTCTCCTTGGATGGGAAGGGAAGAAGGGGCTCTGCCTGCGGGGCGGGGAGTCGCATCGCCCCGGCAGCGGCTTCCTCTCGGCGTCGGGCGGACAGCCGGGATGACCCGCACAGGGACGGGGCGGGAGAGGCTGCCGGGACGGGGGAGCGAGGCGGGGACAAGGGGGGAGGCGGAGGGAGTCCGTCCCAAGGGAACAGCAGGAGGGCTCGCACCGGCAGCACCGTGCCACCTCTATGGGTGGCGGGACCGGGTGGTGCCCGCGGGGAGGGCGGCTCCGCCCTGAGCTGCCGGAGGGCTCCTGGGGGAGGCGAGGAGCGACTGTCGGCTCCACAGGAGGCTCCTCGGGCCGGGAAGGGGCTTGCGGCTGCGGGGAGTGGCGTTCCCACGAACCCTGGCCTGCCCGCTCCTCCCTGCCCTCGCTCCCTGCCCTCGCCCCCTGTCTCCCAGCCCCACTCCTCTGGGGCGTCCCGCTCCTCAGGGACCCTCCCGACCCCCCTCCTCCAGACCATCCCTGCTCTTCAGGGCCTCAAAGCCAGGTGAGAAGCACCTTCCTCCTTTCCTCACCACTCTTCCTCTTTTTCTGCCTTCCTCCTTTCCCTCGGCGCCCCTTTTGTCTCCCCTCTCAAGGCAGAAAGCTTTGGGTAGTGTTATCTCCTCCATGAATCACCTCTTTGCACTACAAGAGGGTCCTCCCCAAAGTTTTCCACTGCCACACAAATGCACAAAGTGAAAAGCTCACTCACTAAGCACTTCTGCAAGTGCTTATCCTGAGCACTTTCATTAAGTTAATTGACTGAAAACTCAGCTCATGCTAGATGAAGGCCCACTGATTTGCCAAAACCATCAGGAAATTTGTGGCGTTGCTGGAGATCAGAGTGAGATCTCCAGAGTGCTGTTTGGTTGTCTTAATCATAGGCATATCTTTCCTTTAAAATTCTTAACTTCTGAAATTTACTGGTACCAATTATGTAAACCAGTTGGAAATAAGGCCTTGGCCAGCAACTGCAGTTTCATTTCGAAGTCTGAAGCTGATTTCTTCAAAATGTAAATTTCGCTTGCAGTTCTATTTTTGTTGTTGTTTGTGTGCACAATTTAAAAACAAAGTGAAATAATAATTTGTGTGCCAGAGAAAATGAGCTGAAGAATTCCCCAGTGTAATTAACAAGACAGGACGGAAACGAGGGTAAGGCAGTTAAGTTTTACAAGCAATTTCTTGAACATAAGAGCTTCCACATTGGGTCAGACAAAGTGCTTTGCTGGACCACTGTTGTGTTGCATTAGTAAAGGCAATAATCCTCTTCAGCACTTTCACTGCCACCAATATTTCAAACTCAGAGATTTTTATAAGGCAGATGTAGTTTCTATGACTTTAGTAGCCACTGGATTTTTCTGTCAGGCACTTCCCCATCTTCCCTTTAGCCTATATAGATCTGTAGCACCTAAAACTTGCTCTAGTAACAAGTTCCCCAGGTCAAACACATGTTGTGCAAAAACCTGCCTCTTTTTGTGTACTTTCAACCTAGCTACTGCTAGCTTCATTTGATGCTCACTAGTTTGTTATTATATGCTCTGTAATTCCTCTCCCACCTGAAGGATTCTATTCGAGTTAGCTGTGCTTCACATGAAATATGTTCCTGTTTTCCATCTTACTGCTAAAGTTCAGGGACCAGAACAGCATCTGAAGGAAGATGCAGCCAAACACTTCTTGGCAGTGGCAAGTAGAAAACAAGGAACAACAGCTACTTGCATTGGGCAGCTGTGGTGAGCAAGAACAACTGCAGCTTGGGAGGTTCAAACTGGACATGGGGAAAACTTTGTTCACCAAAAGGAACATGCAGCATCGTAACAAATTGCCCAGACAGGTTGTGGAATTGCCAATTCTTGGTGGTTTCCAACACTCAGATAAACACTCAGTTAAACAAAGTCACAGTTGATCTGATCTGGCAATAGTCCTGCTTCAAGGGAAAGGTTGGACTGGGTGACCTGCAGAGGTCCCTCTCAACCAATATTTCTATGATTCTTTACCTACACAAAAAATGCAAGCAAAATATAGATTTCTGTGGCAACAAAAAGATATTATTTGTTTTGTTCTCTACTGATTTCTAAACACTTTTTTTTTCATCTGTTGATCACCAGGCTGATGTTATCATGGAGCCACTTTCATAACTCCAGGACTCTCTCTCCTGAGAAGTAATGACCAGATCAGAACCTGCCTTTTCATACCTGAAGTAAGGATCCTTTTCCTCCCTGTGCAGTACTTTGCATTTATCTATACTGAACTCCATCTGCCATTTTATTTCTTGGTCACTCCCATAAACTTGTCTGCAGATAATCAAGGTTGTCTCATCTTCATTAAGCTAAATAATTTGATAGACTCATCAGGCTTTGTGATCTGACTACTTATCCCTTTTCCAGATCATTTATAAATACGCTGAATGGTGCAGGACACAGCAAGTTGTTATTGGTAACCTATCATCCCTAGAAAAACTGATCCTCTAGTCCTATACTTTCTTTCCCATTTTCCAGAAAATACAGATATCATAGGTTCATTTCTGTTTATTGAACTCTGGATGATGGGATCAGTATGCTTTTGATCCATCACTCCTCTGACTCCTGATTTCAGAATCTAAATTTTAAATTTAAATAATGTAAAACCATTTTTTCTTGAATCCTGTGTTATGGTTTAACCCCAGCCAGCAACTAAGCTCTCAGCTACTCACTCACTCCTCCCCACTCTGGTGGGACTGGGAGGAGAATCAGGAAAAGGTAAAACCCATGGGTTGAAATAAGAACAGTTTAATAATGGAAATAAAGTAGAACACTATAATAATGACAATAATAACAACAATCATAGTAGGAAAAAAGGAGATAACAAAAAAAAAAAAAGGAGGAATAAGCCTCCATAAAGACAAGTGATGCACAACACAGTTGCTCACCACCTGCTGACCAAAGCCCAGCGCAGCCCAGCCTCGACCAGTCATCCGCGCCTCCTGGCCAACTGCTCTAGTTTATACATTGGGCAGGATATTCTATGGTATGGAATATCCCTTTGGCCAGTTCAGCTCAGTTGTCCTGGCCTTGCTCCCTCCCAGCTTCTTCTGTGTCTCCTCATTGGCAGAGCATGAGAAAAAGTCCTTGATGTAGAGTAAGCACTACTGAGCAACAACTAAAACATCAGTGTGTTATCAACATGATTCTCCTACTAAATCCAAAACACAGCACTGTACCAGCTACTAGGAAGAAAATTAACACTATCTTAGCCAAAATCAGGATGCATATTCCATTACTAATATTTTATTTCTCGTAATAATAAGATTATACTGTTTGGATAATTCTTCATAAATAAATATTGATGTTTAAATTATCACATTAAAATTTTCCTCAAAATAAAGTTTGCAGAAGACATGAGGAACATACATTTTGGAGTACTAATTCTTTAGAAACACACTATATAATATACATAGTAGGGCTGTAAAAATATAATTGTTGGAAAATTTCCAGCATGCTAATTTTATCCTTCAGAAGTAACTTTATCTTATTAGAAGATTAGTGAGCCCTTTTGCTATTCGTACATGTTCCAAAAATAAGCTTCACATCATTTACCAACTGAGAGATGTTCACTTGGAAGTGAGCTTTGAAAGACTGATACCTAAATTTAAAAAAAAAAAGTAAAACAAAAGCTGCATTAACATCAAGGATGTACTAACTTCAGTCAAAATTCTTCCTGCATATCTGCAAAGAAAATAAAGAAGAAAAAAAAGCAAATTTTTACCACCAGATGTACCTTGGGTTTGAGTTCAGTCACAGATCTGTTGTAATCTTATCTTAGGGTGAATAACCCACAAAATGAGCTCCAAAGTTCCCAAATAAGATTGTCCTAGATTTTTTTGTCAGGTAGAAATTTGAGATAGGAGCTTCAAATTTCCCTAGTGGAGAACCTACACTGAGTGTGGATGTATTGGCCGGGCAGCTGCTTCTGAAATGTCATTTGGCTTTACAATGCTGGAGGAACACCCTCTGCTCTCATGTGGGTCTTGCACACACGAGAAAAATGTTTGATCATAGCAACAATGTGCCTTGTCTGCAGTCTCCAAATTCTATTCCTTGTAGTGCATTGTGCCTCAGCAGGCAGATATACCTACCCACAACATATTCTTTCACACCTGACTTAAGGGAAAACAGGCAGGTGCAACTCAGGAAAACTGAAACAAGGTTCATAGGTGTCAAAAAGAATGCAAATGCCTGTAACAAAATTAAAAGTTCAATGCATAGTCCTCAGCCATACCCCGCAAGAAGTCAGCTTTAATCTCTTCTTTTCTTCTCTTCAGTCCTTCTACTTATGTATACATGTACACATGCTTTATCATAAAGCTACTGATTACTTGGATAGTGCAAGTAACTTCTTTTCCTTCACACTTTAAGCCTCAAGCTGGAGCTTGAGTCCCTCTGGGTACACTTCCAGCTCAGCTGATATAGGTTTCACTTCTTTTCTACTTTTCTTGTTCCAGGCCTATTTTTTGTGAGTTTTTGTGAGTTTTAACACTTTTGCAGTTCCCAAACTCTAAACTTGGGATAACTCATTGGCTCATGATGAATGGACGTGAGATAATTCCTAGTGCTTTCAGAACAAAGGGATGTGAAATACAATGGATCTTTCTTACAGGACCACGAATGGTCTCCATGGTAGTCTCTCTTCTGTGGCAGCTTGTTGCCACAGAAGGCCTTTTGTTTTGTGGACCAGTGGGGTTGGTTATTGTGCTGTTCAGAGGTGCCTGTGACACAGTGCTGACCAGTTAGACTAAAACACTGAATGAAACAGATCTTAGAGATCCTGGCTCTGAGAACTTGAAAAAGATGCAAGAACTGCAATACATCACATAATTTTTTTTAAGAGTGCACACAGTGAGGACAAAAAAGGATGAAAACAGCAGGAGAATTCTGCATAAACCAATGGACCATCACAGTACAGGTTGGAGGGGTATTAATTTTAAATTGGGTATGGGTGTACAAGGTACTATGGTGCCAGAAATGTGGATCTTAGCAATGAGTGCAATGTGGCCAACACA